ATATAATTTAAAATTTGATTTTTTTTTTTTTTTTTTTTTTTTTTTTACAAATCAGTTATGTTAATTTATATCTGAAACCTTTGTAAATAATTTTTAATGATGATACTAATGATAATTTTTCATATGATTTGTTTCTTTAAAATTGTATGTACTTTACTAAGAAAATATATTAAAAAGAAACAAATGTTTTAGATCAAAGAATTTCTACAAGGAAAATATATTTCTATCACTTCTTATACAAAACAAGAAATTTCAACTGGAGCAGCCAGAATTTTTCATCTTCAATCTTAAGTTTAGAGAACTGATAATTTGTTAACTTTCAGAAGCTTCAATCATTGCATGCAAAGGAAATTATTTTGGCATTATAGTTTAAAAGCTTTGATCTTGTAAAACCACTGATTACATCTCAAAGACGAACTTGTATTCTTTGAGAGGAAAGGGCTTGTTAAATATCAATGGCCAACTGAATGCTGACAATAAAATTGTTAAAATGAAATATCTTTAAGATGATCAGTTTTAGTGTTACTTAGGCTTTATTAATTTATTTTTCTAAAGATTATTATATTTGTGCATATGTTTATGAGTACATAAATGAATAATTGATGCTATTTTTATTCAGAGTGGTGTAAATGGTAATATTAAAGAGCTATAAAACATTTCATATTAATATTTAATATTTACCAACTATCTGTTTGTTTTAAAATGTCCAACTTATTCAAACTAGAGTATTACAATTATTGTAAAAGATAAATAACTGATGTTTCATTGGTTGTATGTACGCATTAGAATTAAAAATTAAATTCAAATAATAAGAACCACTGAACAGGGATCCCAAATAACATAGTGCCATCAACAAATAGTCTGCAATATAGTATTTGGTTATAGGAAGAAAAATCTATTGACTAAAAAAGACCATGCGAAATACAGACAACAACAGACACAAACATATGACTTGATGCAACTCCACAATGAAAAAAAAAAAAAACTTTTTTAAGTATTCGGAAAAAGTTAAAACTATTTTTTGACAATGATATTTATGTTTTTATTTGTTAAGATACGTGTGGAAAGTGAAACTAGTGAACTGAGTCAATTGTGTTCACCTGACACTAATGTCTTTGGGAAGCGGCATGAATTCATTTCTTCTATCTGCCTGCTATAGGTTAAATAGCAGAAGAAAGTGGGCTCTCTAAACTTGGATGGCAGCCAGCCTAAGAGAAGGAAAACCAGTTGTGCATACACCATAGTGCTCTAGACGACAGACATATTTGGGATGCAACTAATAGCCAGAAATTGAGACCTATTTCAAAAGCTCCTTGTTCCACTGAGAGTAATGCATTTTAGTTTCAGTTTTTGCTTGTGTTAGTTTGTTGCTGTAGTCAACTTAAGAAATTTTTGCTTTTACACTTGGAATGACTAACTTATTTAATTGAAGTACATATAAAATTTATTTTATTTCCTTCAGATTTGCATTATTATTTTATGTTTATTGCAAAAACAAACTTTTTTGTGCAAAATTCATTCAAAAAATTAAATTTAGGAATCTTGGTCTTGTCACTTGGAAGTTAATTTAACATTTTTCATTTAAAGTTAAATTAATATTCTCTATGAATTTTTTTTTGTGTAATCTGTATTTCTTACTGGTAAAAAGTATGTTAAATTTTTGCCATGTTATAAAATTGTGTAATTTTTTCAGCTAAAAAAGAAAATTAAATATCAAGGTAAGGCAGTATACGATAACCCAAAAAGGCATAATTTTACTTGATTTAAAGAAATACTTTATTAATCCAATTTTTTTTTATTCTTTCTTTTTACAAACATTACAGAGTCTCTTAAGAAAGTTAATTTTAATAATGTTTTATGTTTAATTTTTAAGAGACTTTTCTTTGATTCTGTTTTTACATTGCAAAATTTATTTAAAAATGCCATTATTTGTCACATAAAGTTAATATTTTTTCTCTATGATACTGTTATTCATAAATATATTGATAATAATTTCTTTTAATAAGTAATTTGGGTTATTTTTTGTAAAAGGTATTAAAAAACATGTTATATTTTAGTTTAGTTTACTATTCAAAATCTAAATTAAAATCAAATGTAATATTTTTATACTACAAAATTAATGAAAAAGTAATTTATGAAAAATGATTAACTTCTGTCCTCCAAATTTTGGAAATTCAAGCGTTTTGAAATGGGCCTCCTGTTCTGACCCTTAGTTGCACTATTTTTAGGCCTGTAGTTTAGAACACAATGGCATACACATGCCATAAAATGCAGGAAAGGCATTTCTTGGACTGAAGTTTGGTCTGGCCATTTACTGCAACTCAACTTGTACCAGCCATCTTAGACACTACCTTACTACAGGATGTGGGGAGGATAAAGAGAGGGTGTGTCTGGACCAGTGAAACCCCTTACTCGGCTTAAAAGAAACTACTCCTCCCATTACTTGATAGGAACCATCATTATCCTTTGGGAGATATAATAATCAGTTAAGTGATAATACCTTAATGTAGATGATTGTAGTCATTATCTAATAGATTTTCAAATAACTATAAGAATTCTCTCACAATAAAAGTTCAGCTGAAAAGGAAGACATTTGTTTTTATAAAGAAGTTTACCGTTTCATATCTTTCCAAATAAGAATAAAATGCAGTAATAAAATAATGAATTGAATATAATCAATAATGTATGTTATCAACATAAATAACAATATACTTTTCATTATTTATTTAAACTTTTGGAATCTACCAAAATTGAAAATAGAATCTAAAACATTTATTGGCATGGAAAGTGGAATCAGTGATCAGAGTTCAAATTCTGGCTTGAGTTTATTACAATCACTTCATACCTTTTGGAAAGACATGAAAACATCCTTTCTACCCACAGCTTAGATTGGGTTAAATAGCAGAGTAGTCTGGGATTTTAGCCTTGGGTGGCAATCAATCTAGAAGGTCTACTCTGAATTCCAGGCTGTAGAGAAGGCAATAGGAAATTTTCCACTGTCTTTCTCAAGAAGTCATGTTAATTCAAAAATAATTATAAAAAGAAAATTGTGGAGAGCAATGATTATCTGTCTTGAAGAGATATGTCATTAAAAAAAAGTTTAAAAAAAATGATTCATAAAGTAAAAGTAACAGTAAATTTTTTACTGAGTTTTTAATATTTATAATTTTAAAATGTTTGAGGTCTATTTTATTTGTACAGAAAATTTGCAAACTAAATTTTATGTTTACTGAATTTATTCAAAATAGTGTAATTAAAAAATGGTGTTACAAAGCATAATATTAAAAAAATCCGAAATATTTCTTAAGTTGTAATTAGAATAAACACAAATTTCAGTGTGTAAAATATTTAATTGCTTTCAAGAAAATTGGGACATCAGTTTTGTGAGAAAAGTAAAAAGAATTAATTTTACTTATTCATAATTTTCAAAATAAAGGAGAATATTTAAGAAATATTTTGAGAAATATTCAGTTTTTAAAATATGTTTATCTTAAATGTTAGCTAAACAGAAGAGATAATGAAAAGGCTGACTTGTATTGAATTGGCAAAATTTGGTTAAGATGACCTGAACAAAAATTGAAATAAGCATATTTAAAAAAAGCACCATTTAGCAATGTTTTCTAATCTGTCACAGACAAAAAAAAAAGATTTTATATTTAAGCAAATAGGAAATGAAGTTGTAGTTTTTTTTCATATTTTTTATTTATGTATTTTAGTTTATTTATTATTTTTTAACAAAAATTAAGTGACAGCAAGCACATTTTATACAAGAGACATTTTTTTTCAAAATCATATGCAAGGAATACATCATGATTTTCATAATTGAGTCACCAATTAACTTTGCAGTAATAAAGTGTGAAAACATTTAATCACAACTTTCAAAACGAGGAACTGTCTCTAAAACATAATCAGCAGGTTTGTCAACATTTTCCAACTTGCTGGTTATATTCACAGCAGAGATAAGCCATATCTATAAATCAACAGTTTTAAAATAACCTATTATATTGTTTATCACTAAAAGTTCAAGTTTTATAGGTCAGAGTGTCTGCAAACTATTTTCATATGCTACAATAAGAATCTCTTCTGAACTTTCCTCAATTCTTTCTTTATTTTGTTTGTTTTGGTAATTCTGTCAATATATAAAACATTTTTTGTGCTAATTAAGTAAATTGGACAAGAGAAATATGAATGAAAAATTACAAAAGTGGAATGGGATTTAATAGAAGAAATTATTCAACCTTCTTAAATGTTTTCTCCACAAGATACAGCATTACTGACATGATAAGAGGTATAAGATTATTTCTACTGTAAGAACAAATGCTAGTTGTTTTATTGAAATACAAAACATCCATTTTAATGTACCTACCCACTACAAATAATGCAGACAATTATTCCAATTCAAAGCCTTTAAAATAATTCAGTCTGTCCAAAGTTTTTGATAACTTTATTAATGCTAATAATGCATGTAAATAGGAACAAATGAAAAAGAAAAGCACTTACAGTGTCATAGGTTTTATAATTTTTTTCTTAACCATGAATTGGGATAAATTCCAAACAATGTTTGCTACATTATGATTAATATATTATTATGAACTCTATAATAATTGACAGTTAAATTTTATACACATTTATGTATATTTATAATTGTTTGATTTTTTAATATTTTAGCACTATTTTTATTAAGTAATTCTATGTAGAAATTTCAGGTTTCCATAAACTTAGTAAAATGGCAAATGAGAAGTTAGAAAGAAAAAAAAACTTTTTCTTTAATTTTAAATTTAGAAGCAAAGACAGAATTTATAAGCAATCTGTTGACTATGACAACCACAAAATATCTTTGTTAATAGAAACACTTAAAAGTGGTCATGTGCTAAAATGGATGATATGAATTAGCAATTGATGCAGAATTTGCTAACACAGCATGCAAAAGTGACTGAGGTGAAGTTGTGTGCAAATATAGATATATATATCTATATATATATATATATATATACACTTACCTATGCTGGATGAGGATGCACTGGTTGACTGTGAGTGTCGTTTCATAACTGGTTCCAGATATGTGGACGGCACCCATCCTTCTTCAGAGCTACCCAGGTGCCTGGCCAGCCACCAACCTTTGGCACCTATTCGCAATATTTCGACTACATCATTTTCCTGAAGAGTCAATTCTGTGTTATCCACAGGGATGTAATCCGCGAGCACAGAAAACCGTTGTAAGTAGGAGGGCTACAAAATAAGATAGTGATGACAGCTTCTTTTTTTTTTTCACTTTACATCTTTGTTTTTATTTTTCCTCAAGCAGAGTTATAAATTATGATATAGTATTGTATTATAGTGGGTGCATGACTGAGTGGTTAGAATGTTTGCTTTCTGACCGTGAGACCCATATTTGAATCTCAACATGGTTAATTTGTTAGGTAAATTCTTGATGTTATCACACTGGGGAGATGATCTCAGGATGTGGCATCTTTGGAAAGTGTCTGAAAATCATACCACAGATTGACTCAAGTCTGGTGTGGAAAGTTGGATAGACAAGATTGTTCAGTAATAGTTTTCACAAGTCATCATGACTGAGGGTTTTAGCAAACTGGCTTTGTTCAAACTTTTGATCACATCAGGTGATATGCTCTCTTCTAGAAACTAACTCAGGCCTGCTCACCATAGTTGCAGTATAAGCCACAGGTAGGCTCTGTAGGTGTTGAACAAACACAAATGTGCCTGAGCAGAGGTCTGTAGCAGATTGGCTAACTGCCCTAGCAAACAGGCATACTTGGAAACTAGTGATTAACCATTACTATTATCGTCATTATAAAATTAAACCATAATGAAATAAAATTAATCATGGTAAGTATATTAAAGTATGCATGCATGCATAGCATAGTGGTTATTGGCATGGAAAGTGAGTGCCATGTTCAAATTCCAGCCAAGGTTGTTGTTTGCTTTTGCACAAATACCATTGGGAAAGGTATGAATATATCCCCTCCCCCACACAACCCAGGTGTTAAAAGCAAGGCAGACTGAGTTCTCGAACCTTGGTTGGCAACCAGTCTAAGAGAAGAATAACTCTCAATTCAAAACTGATTAGACATGTGGCTAACAACTCAACCCCATAAAAACCTATTTGCTGTAGAAACCATCCTTATGTTAAGGCTGTAGCCCTATACTCAACAGGCAACACTACTAATAATTAATATCATTCTAGTAATGCATTTCACTATTAACTATTTTCCATATCAGGAATATTTTCTAAAAAAAATAAATTAAGATTGGAATTGAAATGTTTTCAAATATTTGCTTTTCAATCAAAAATGCTTCTTTTTTTTAATTTTTTCTTTTTTTTTACAAAAATAATATAAATCATAACAATAACAAGTGGTATCTGAAAGTTCTAACACTAGAAGACCTAAGGAAGTACATTATTACTCCATTAAATAATATATTTGATATATTATTCAAATTTAGCCATCATCCCTTTAAAAATAGTCCCGTGCAAACATACAATATAAGCTAGGAAAAAAACTTCCCAATTATGAAATTTCAGGTTTTCCATGAGGATCTCCTTGTATATTCTATAATTAATTCTAATGTTAAAGACCTGGTAGATTGTTTGGTGATGGTCATCATGTGTTCACAAACATTTTTCTATATTTTGTGACATTTTATTGGTGCTTGGCTACTCTGAATGATCATAATCTTAAACTGATACTTGACTCATCTTGAAATTTGTTTGCCACTCAAAAATCTATGTTGAACTTAAATAATGTTTGTCAAAAGCCTGATGAAACAGTTCAAGTGTTTCAATAGCAGATTTCACAAATTTCATACAAAATTTGATTCAGGCATGTTACTTGAATTTATCAATTATTTATCAGCTATCATAAATATAACAGAACTATCTCAACAAAATGTTACATAATAATAATAGAATAAAAGTAAATAGTACATGTTGATTGATTCATTTTCTATAGCTTATCAATCTATTGCAGGTTATTTAAAGCTAGAAAATATTTTTAGATTGTAAGAATTTTTTTTCTTAGATAATAATGATTTGGTGATACAAGTCTTACTAATTAACCCATGGCTGGGGGAGAAGAGTTGAATTTATACCTTTCTCAAGAGTATTTTTGCAAGTAAATATAACAAAACCAATGGGAATTGGAACTTGGATCTATAATTAACAATTCCAAACCATTATTCAATACACCACCTGCACATCCAAGTTTGTAGCACTTAGTATTCCCAAGTGGTCACCCACCTAGGTACCAGACTTGACATTACTTAACTTGAGTGATCATAAGAGAACTAGTGTTTCAATGTGATGTGATGTCTTAAACTTAAATAGTACAATGCCTGAGTTAGTCACTCGGTAGGTTGGATGCTAATGGGTATTAGGTGAAGGCACACTTTAATTGAATGGCACAATCATATTATGTATAATCAAGGAAAGTTCTGATAACACCTCATAAAAAAATTTGTATAAAAATAAGGAAGAGTATTAAATAACTTTAAAAAATATTCTTTTGACTTATTTTAATCAGTAAAATTAAAGTTAAAATCAATTTAGATTGGCCATCAAAATGTAATTGCAGTAAATTAAGAGTTAATATTATTTACTTTTAATATGAATATAACTAAATAGATCAGAGTAAGTACAGTTTTAGTCTGTTTTTTACTTCTTGCTAATAGACAAAATCTGAACTATTACAAATCTTAACAAAATCTGATGAAATGAAAGAAAGATTATTACTTAATTGGAAAAATTACTAACACCTTATGATGAAACTTATAGGAAATGTCAATTTTAGAGTTACAATTTTACTCACAAAATTCTCTCAGGGAGAAAGAAAATATAATTTTGAATCTTTGAGTTTCCTAATTCAAAGAAGTAAATGTTGTTAAACATTAATTACAAAAAAAGTAACATAAGCCAATAATTTAAAAACCCAAAACAAAGAGTATAAATAAAGAGGTGTGTTTTCTAACAGGCATGTGTTTTGTGTGTATGTACTTGGATATATATTATTCTATACCTGGCTGTATATTTTAGGTGTCTGAATATATAGTGGAGGATTTAGATAATCATCATTGTATCTTCTTTGTTTTAAGAACTTAATGTGGATGATCCTAAGAGAATTTGATGAGCTCCCTGCATAAGTTAAAAGCCTCACCCACTTTGCATTCATACTGTTCAGTATTATGATGGCAAAAAGAGGTTAATCTTTATTTTTTAGTTTCCAAAAAAAAAGATTTAATTACAAAACAAAACAAAATGTCAGTTCCAGACTTACTTCTATACGGTCAAAGTTGCGGTGGTGTTGCATAACGTCAAGATCCTCATCGCTGTTGGTGAACTCTCCGCTCGACCAGCCTTCGTCTATGATACCATCACCAGGTGGGGACTCTAAGGGAGAGTTCATTTCTAAACCAACAGGGACTGTGGGAGCGCTACCAGTGGAATGGCTCATTGACCGTGTGTGCCAGCTATCTCCGCTGCTATAAGTGAAAAAGATTCTGATCATACAAAAAGAGAGAAAACACATATTCCACATTCACACAAATGCTCCTATGCACATATAACACTTCTATATTCTTCATATTTATTTATTGAAAAAAAAATGACAACTTCTTAATAAGTAATAATGTAAATATAATGTAATTCATTGAATTTTCTTCATAAGTTGTTTTCTTAAAATTGATTGACTTCATTAAAAAAGAAAAAAAATTAAATATTTTATTTCTTGAATGCTGATTTTTAACATAATGGATTTTAAAACATTTAGAATTTTTACTTGTGAATTTAAGTTTCTGCAAAAGAAGCAAAAGCATCAGTATTTTCTCTATAGAATATTTGCTATCATCTTTATAGTTTTTTCATATTACATTTAAAATTATTTCACTTGTACATACATCATGCAAAGAGGTGGAAAATTTATATTGTTATTAGTATTTAATATTTATCTACATATTCAAAAGATGCATAAAATATTAAAAATTGAATTCTACTTTATAGATTCATAAGAATATAAATATTAAATTTAAATAGAAAGCAAATAAATAACAATAATAAAGATTTGTATATTAAAAATTTATAAGTAATTTTTTTTACTAAGTATTTCAAATAAAAATTAAACTAATTTGATCATTTCTGGCCAATTGAGAAAATAAAGCAAATTTTAGGGTCTGATATATTTGTTGTTTTTATGTTAATCTGAATATAAAAGCATAAACTATAATCAATTAACAATTTCTTCAATGTAAACTCTATTCCTAAGACTAAACTATATTTTCAAGTTTTTAATTTGGTAGAAATTATAAAAAAAGGTATTTCTATATTTGCATCAAAATCAGAAAGTGGTATTGTGATGTGAATAATGTTAATTCATAATTTCTAATCTTAAATCAAAAACTCTATTCACGTTTTTCAGTGTAAAAATGGAAATGAACATAAGCACTTGCCTTTTGCTTTTTTGTTTGTTTTTACACAAGTATAAACTTCAACAGTGTTTATCATATATTGTTGGTTGCTTAAGATCTTTACATTATAAATTGAAAAATAAGAATGTAAAAAATCTGTTTAACTTCACTTCAAGCTTTAAAATACAAAAGTTTTATAAAAGGATTTGAAAGCGGCTAATCTCATTGGCTGTAAACAGATTCAGATATACTGGGAGAATGCATTTAAGGGAGATAAGCAAGCCTCTACTTGGAAAATAGGATTGAGGAGGAAATAAAAAATTGGGTACCATTGGTAGATTTATTTTAATTAGCTTAAACATTAGAGATAAAGTCAAATGTGTGAATAAAAATATAAGTGTTTTATTCCATTACAATAATTTATGTTTATAAAAATTAGGATAAAATTTGTTTTTCCCCAAGGAATATGGCAAAATAACGTACACTTAACAGTAAAATCTTTCAAGTTTAGTGCAGCCTAGAAAAAATTAAAAATAATTACACAATCATTTTGGAATAAAATACTAATTTTATTGTTTTGAAAAGGAAAAAACTTCATAATCAAGCTGAAATCAAGGTGAATGTGGCTCTTGGATGTTACCAGACATATGACCTTAATTCCTTAAGCAGAATTAAGGGATTATCTTATTTTTGATGCTAGGATTAGAATAGTATATGTTAACTGCACCACTACTAGAAACATAGAAATGATTTTTTTCAGCAATAATAATCACGTTCTATCCTTGAATTCTGTCTTTGTTGGTTTTATTATTTGCCCTTTATTGTTGTTTCCATTTCTGATTGTGTATCTAATATTTGTTTTTTGGTTACTGTATCTGTCAAAATATTTACACAAATATTATATTACAAAACCTTTATAGCAGCTCTTAATACTTGGTAGTTCTAACTGCAAAAGATATTTGTGAGAAGGAAAAATTCAAATAAATGTTTGAAAATGTCTAGTTTAAAAACTCATTATTTTTTTCCATTACTTATTCATGTAAAATCTGTATATTTAAATATTGTTTTGCAAGAAAATCTACTCATTGCCATTTTAAACTTATTGTAATACAAATCCTTTAACTACATTCCTTTTGTATATGATAAGTATTTGTTTAGAGAAATCTGTAACTGGCAAAGATCAATTTTATAAAACATTCTTCATAACACTCGTGATCTGAACATTCCTTTTTCTTTACTAGAGCTTAGACAAAGTGAATTAAATCTATTATATTACTATAGTTAAGAAAAACACTCATTTTGTTTCAATCCATTTATCTAGAAACAGAAAAAGTTATAAAAGGGATCAATACTTATGTCAACAGTTTCTTTGCACTTAGAATGCATGCGACTTTGGAGACTATACTTTACTTTAGAAAAGCTTTTTTACAACATTAAAAGCTTACAATGGTTTTCTGATAAAGCAGAGATGAACATTTGATTAGTAAAATAAACATACAATGAGACTTTCATACATCTTTTGATGGAGGATTTCTCTATTAGAAACAATAACTTAAAACTTAATACTGACTTTTCACAAAAGATAATGCTGGGATGAGCAAACAACGAACAAACAAAAAGCAAAGACACCGAGAAAAATATTTAAAGAAAAGGGATGAAAAAACATTTATTTGCCCTTTTTATCTTGTTTTGAACATTTTCAGCCTTCACCCCTTATATTCATTGCATCATTTTTAACAGGATTTACAATTAGTAAACTTTTGTGTTTTTATTATTCATTAATTCTTATTTTTAATTAATGATCAATATAAAGATATTTAATCTGATTACAAATGTTTCACAGTTGGAATTATTGGATTATATATTCAAAAATATGTTTTTATTATTTGACAAATAGAATAATGAAGTGATTATTCAATATAAAACCAAATGTATAAATCCCTGCTTTATCAATATCAGATTATTTTCAGTTTTTTATTAGATAATTTATACTTAGTTTGGCTATCAGCAAAAAAAAAAACTTCTGTAGTAAAGCATGTTATTCCGTAATATGGCATTACTCAAGTCTAGTGTTATGCATCATATTCTCCACATATCCCCCTAAAATGTGCCCCTTACTCTGTAACTCTCTACTTTCGTGTGGCTCTTGTGCCTTGTACAGGGTGAACATCATTGTAAAAAAAAAAAAAAAAAAAAAATATAACTCTAGCTTATTACTTTTCCCACATTTTAGCATGTTAACTCTAAATTTCCTTTTCTCATTTTGTTTACACACGCTTTTTTAGAGTTCATTAAATAGATACTTGGTTTGAATTCTCATTTTCAGATGAAAAATTATTTAACCTCTATAGCAATTTGACAAAACATATACACACACACACACCTACTTTTAAAGGTAACAATGTCATATGCAGATATTGCAGAATTCTGTAGATAAATATCTATATTTTTGTTTAAATGTCTTCATGAATTTATTACAGGTATTATTTTCTCTAGCAGAAACTTTGAAATCTTCTTACGACTCTCTTTGATCACTTACCTCCCTTAAACTACTTAATTTCATCTCATGAATACTTCCTGGTTATCAATATTGTTTTTCTTTTTTTAATGATGTATGTGTTTTTATAAAATAACAAACCTGATTGATGTGAAAGCTATTAACATCAATAACAAAATTATATCAAATTTTAAAATTACTAAACACATGTACTGACATCTTTTTAAAGATGTAATAAAAATAATGCTGTATAATTTTTAATATCACAACCAATACTTTTAAAAAAATATTTTTCTTATAGGAAATATTATAGATGCTTCTCCCCCAGTCAATAAATGATTTATTGACTGTAGATAAAGTAAAGAACTCACCTTCCCTCCATAGACTCAGAAAACCTTCCCATTCTGGTGAGGTCTTCTTGTGATCTACTTCCATAGCGAGAATGGCTCAGCTTGTGCACTGAATATTGAGAAAACAAAGTCAGTCTAACCAACGAGGCAGATTTATCTTTTTGACTTCTTTTTTCTGTTTAGATCTTTCCTTTTGTTTGTTTAAAACTTGACAACATTTTAAAGGAAAAGAAATTACATTTCAGAATATTGAAAAAAAATTAATTTTTTGAACCACTTCTTCTCAAACAGCAAATTATCTATGATTTCATTTGTTGAAATTATTTCATTTAAAAGTTGTTTAACAAAAAGAATCCATACATGCTTTAAGCTTTTAAAAACTAAGACCATTTGATTCAGAAATTAAAATTTGTTACAGTAATAAAGACAAAAACTTTTGTTAACTTTAACAAAAGCAGATTCATTTTTTGTTTGCATGATGATTATATTGGTAAACAGCTTTAATACTGTTTGGTTGTATACAATAATATTTAGTCATCTTAATTCTTTGTAATAAGGACTGATATTGAAGTAAACCTACACTCTGATCGCTTCCATCCTAAAAGTATTTATAGTGATTCATATGTGTATATATTAATACACACTACACACGCAGCCACTAACCAATAAAATTTAAATTTATAAATAGATCAGCACAGAGTTACTGACATACATGCATAATCATATTTCTCATGAATAACAAGGCACACAACACATTTTGATTTACATCTAAAGATGTTTAAAAACAATCAGAATTTTGCATACATTCATATAATAAGATAAACTTAAAATCTTGTATATTGATATAAATATATGCTCAAATGCATATTCCAAACGTCTCAAGTAATTTTATTTCTAAAATGCTTGGAATGCATATGAACATTTAAATACAAATTTTAACAAAAATGCATGCATAATTAGACCAAAAGCATACAGCTAAAATATTACTTTACTATCAATTTTATCAATTTGTATAGTAATATCTCACTATTATTGAAGATAACGTCAGCATGAAACAATAATTCCAATTTTTTTCTTTTTTAATAATTAAAATATTTAGGGAAAACTTCAGTCACCTTCCTCACATATTTCACTGATCTTATTTGTTCTTTATTCTCTAAAATAAAATCCATAGTTTTGTTTTTTATCATTTATATGAAAATTATATTTTGAAAAACTTTTCATGATTTTATCACTTACCACATTTCTATAAATATTAGAGATTTTCTCTTTCAGAAGTTTGTCTTTTATGCAAGGTATTAATAAAACTATTTTATTTTCCAATAAAAAAAATTTGACAATGGTTTTGACTTTGATAAATACAAGAATAAAATGATTCAAATTTAGCACTTTTTAAAAAATATTATAACACTCTTATAATAAACACATTCAATCAATTTTTTTTTATTTCATTTTTAATGGTCATTAACTGAAACATTTAAGAAATGGTATATTTATCATTTGATAACCATTATGGAATCTAATTTTAACTCTTAGATAACATTTCCATAGGTCTATGGAGATTGCAGTATATTTGAAATAATTGTTGGACATTAGCATGTTCTTTCTTTGGATGATAGTGTACTTACAAATCTATAATGTTGCAACAGCACATGTATATCTGTATTTATATGAATGCAATGAAGATTTAATAAAAAGTTATATGATCAGAAAATTCTAAACCAAATATACTAAGAATCAAATACTACAATTAGTGTACAGTTTTGTATTCATTGTTAACCTTTTGCTTTTTATACATAACTCCTGATGCCGTATTCAATTAGGTGCAATTGAGAGAATTATGTTCTTACAATTGTAGTATGAATCAGGAGTAAACAATTATATAAACTTGTAAAGCAAAAATATTTTAAAAGTTACTTGTCTGTTAATTTTTCCTTTTTAGATTTGTATTAACTTCAACTAGATTAAATTTAGCCATCAATATTTTAATAAATAGAAAAGAAATAATCACTTAAAATTATGCATCATGTTATCAAAAGATTTTCAGGCAGCTGAGTTACATAAAAAAAAAACATTTGCTGAATGTCTTTCTGAAAATGCTCATTTTAAGAATTTCACATTTTCTTTTAAACATTAAATAGTTTCAAAATAGGAATAACAAAATTTCTCTTAAGATGATTTGATCTTTATTTACTGTGTAATAGCATTTCACAATTTTAACAATGAGCATTTTTTTATAAAATAATCTCAAGAAAAGATTAAATGTAAATCCTTATTATACAGGGTGTGGCAGGAATACCTCCTATATAATGGTAAGACATTAGATGAAGACACCATTGCCACTGTAAACAGATTGATAGAACACAAAGACAGGATGTATAGTGCTAGCCAGCCATGTTTGAACTGGAGACTTTATTTTTAGAGAAGAGTTCTACAAGGGAGACAATTCCAAAACATGACAGCCACTAATGTCTTACCGTTACCATTATTTCTGTTGCATCCTGTACTTTTAACTTAAATGTTATATACCAACAAGTATGGCAGTTTTGAATGAACCTAAAGTTAATCCTAAGTATCATTAATTTGTCTAGTTTTCTTATTTAAAATAATTCTGGATATAATTTATTTAATAAAAAATATCTTGCATCAGGAAAAGAGAGTAAGAAAAGGATCGGTGAAATGAAGGCAAGGCATGTTACCTAGCAGACGACATTAAACTGACAGCAGGTTTATACTGTGTGGATGGGTAAAAAGAGTGAATATGAACACAAAGATCAGATTTTATGCGAATTGCTTGCAATTATACCATTAAGAGGACACTATAAAACCTGTATAAACACAATCAACATTTACAATCAAAAAACAATTTTAAGATGTTGTATTTTGAAATTTTTTTTATGAAAATGTAAACTTTGATTGAAGTGTTTTTTTAGCTGTACACTAACAGATATTTCTCAGTATAAATGCAAATTATAAACAATGTCATTTGACATTTTTCTATTAATAATAACTGCAAAATAATTTTTTAATTTTAAAGTTATGATCATTTCAACAAAGAATTTTCATTTTCTTTTTTAAAATCTAATAACACACATTGTATTTCCACTTTTGGCTATCATAGCTCTTCCTTTTTCTCTTATTTTACCTAAAATGGCTGGTAAAAAAAATTCAGTAATATTTTCCTTTTTGATAAGTAAAATACAAAACAAAATGTCTGAATATTTTAATTTTGATAAATTGAACTGCAAAGAATTTACATGCATCGACATAGATGAGAAACACCATTTACAACAATTAGAAGCAAATTGGAAAACAATTGAGAATCCTATTTTAAGATAAAAAAGAGTAATAGGAATTTCTTAAAATGTATAACATAAAGCATCTGCATATACAATAATGATACAATAATCTTTTAAAACATCACAAATATTTAGATTATTTTTTTAATATAATTCTGTGAATACAAGTAAATCACAATATTTCATATTAATTTTCAGAGTTTCAGTCTGACTAAAACACTATCTGAAAATTTTAACAAAAATAGTATGAGTATTCAATAAAAAAATAAGTGATTTGAGTCGATAAATATTCCAATATTTAAGAAAAGAGAAAGAAAATATTAAAATGAAATAATATACAAAATGATACTCCTGTAAAAGAAAGAATTTTTCAAATCTTAAAATATTTTTAAAGAACTTTAATTTCATAAGAAGTCAAAGTAAAAACAGATTCGGTCTTTCTTTTTTTTTCTTCAAATATTTTGCTTCACTCACCTCTAAGTTGATCAAACTGATTCAGTAGAACAGCTTTAATTTCCTTCACCCATTCCTCTTTTTCTTCGATGCTCGGAGCCTAAATTAGAGAAAAAAATTATATATATTATATGATTATCAATAATAAGATTATAACATTCTAAAAGAAAAACTCCCAATAATTTATTTATAAGAATATGAATTTTAGAAGTCTATTTTTGTGGTGTGAAGATTTTGTTGACAATATAAATAAATTTTACTTTCAATTGCTTCAAATTTAGCAACATATATTTTCCAATTGGTAATGCAAATTATTAAAAACAGTGAGATTTTTTTTCAATTGGTATGATTAAATTGTTTATTCTATCTCAATGTCTATAATGTTTTTTTTATAAGTTTTTTTGAATGTCAGAATATGAATCTGACTATTTTTTTCAACTTCCGGTTAATCATGTGATCATCCTTGACAACTAAATAAGAACAAATGTAAAGTGAAAACGTTTTTTTTTTTTTTGTTTAATTTTGTAATATTTTGCCTTAAAAATGTCAAATTCTACTCCATCTCATAAAAAGAGAAAATTATCTGAAGAAGGATGTGTGTTTCAAGAAAAGTGGGAATTACAGTACTTTTGTACCACTGTTAATGGAAAGATAAACTGTTTGATTTGCAACCACTGCATTGCGACGCCAAAAGAATATAATGTGAAAAGACATTATGAAACAAACCATCAATCTTATGATAAATATGAAGGAGATATGCATGTTTCAAAAGTGAAGGAATTCAAGGTTAAGTTAACACAGCAACAGAGTTGCTTTACAAAAATTCAGAAAGGCAACGTTAATTCTGTTACTGCAAGCTTTGAACTCTGCAAAATGATTGCCATCAGTGGAAAATCTTACAGTGAAGGAGATTTCATAAAGCGATGTCTTGTAAAAACAGCTGAAATTGTATGTCCAGAGAAGTCACACTTATTTCAAGACATTTCATTAAGCAGGAACACTGTTGCTGAACGGATTGATGAAATGGCAGGTGATTTGAGTCGACAGTTGAAGACTTTATCATCAAGTTTTGAACATTTTTCTATTGCTCTGGATGAGACTGTTGACATAGCTGGAATAGCACAGCTCACCATTTTCATCAGGGCTTGTGACAATGAATTTCAAATTTATGAAGAACTAATTGAACTGGTCCCAATGCATGATACTACAACAAGCCAGGACATTTTTGAGAAAGTTGAACACCTTCTCCATGAGTATGGCCTTGATTTGAGTAAACTTGTGTGTTTATCTACTGATGGTGCTGCCAATATGGTTGGGAGACATAATGGTGTTGCTGCCAAGTTAGGTACAAAAATAGAAAACATATATCCAGATTCAACATTCAAGCATTTTCACTGTATAATTCATCAACAGAATGTTCTAAGATTTTAAAATTAGATCATGTGTTGAGTCTTGTCACAAAAACGGTGAACTATATCACAGGTCATGCTCTGCATCACTGCCAGTTTAGCCAGTTATTGGAAGATGTGAATAATCAGTTCACAAATGTCCCATTCTACACAGTTCAGTGACTTTCATGTCACAAGGTACTAAAAAGATTTTTTTATTGCAACACGAAATTATGTTTTTGGAGATGAAGTGTCAAAGCACAGATGAATTGAAAGATGAAAGCTGGCTCCAAGATCTAGCTTTTTCAGTGGATATTACTACCCAATTAAGTGACCTTAATTTGAAATTACAAGGTAAAAATAAGCTCATCACTCAGTTATATGATGATATCAAGTGTTTCATTGCAAAATTAGCTTTATTGAAGTCCCAGTTGTCACATGAAAACTTGATTCATTTTCCTATGTGCAAGGAGTTGAAAAAACTGCCAATACTGAGTCTGTATTTATCTTTGCTAAGTACGACAATTACCTGGAATTGCTGTCAAAGGAATTTCAGCAAAGATTTTGTGATTTTTCATCTTGTGAAGATCAGTTTGCATTATTCTCAGCACCATTCACTTTTGATGTTGCTCAGGCAGAGGAAAGTCTACAGATGGAACTACTGGAAATGCAGACTGACTCAACACTCAAGGGAAAGTACCTAGAAGTAGGGGTACCTGAATTTTTTTTTTATACCTTCCTCAGACATTTAAGAACTTCAGAAAGTTTGCCACAAAGATTATGGTGATGTTTGGTTCTACATATGTCTGTGAGCAGTTATTTTCGTTTATGAAGGCCACAAAAACATCTCAAAAACCAGATTAACTGATGAGCATTTGTCATCTTTGATCAAAGTGTAATTGACACAGACATTCCAACCTGATATATCGAGAATAGTTTGTCTAAAGCAATGTCAATCATCAGGACAACATAAAAATGATTAAATTGTACCTTGTACCATGTAAATAGTTTTTATCTAATGTATTATAACAATTGACAAGTTAAAACATCTTACCTTGATAAGTATAAATCATTATCAAGAGTCTAGTATTTTGTAAATAAATTTAAACAAAAGATATTGGAAAAAAATAGTCTATTAGATAAGAAGAGTATTCAGAAATTTTAGTGCCAGATTGAAAGCGTCATGTTCACTTCTTTAATGTAAGATCCCAAAGTCGATAAATCATTAGTAATAATATAATTATTTAAAAATAGAGCAATGGTTAAAATAAATTAATTTAGGTAATATGAGGTGATACTTTGCCAAAATTTAATTCAATAAAATTAATAAATAAGGAATACATTAAAATTGTTGCAGTTTTTTGATAGGATTTACAAAATCAGAATGTTAGTTTGATTAAAGGTGACTTGAAATAAATCCCAAATTGTCTTAAATAAATAAATAATAAATGAATGAAAGCATAAAGAAAAATGAATGATTATTATAAAGATAAACCTGTATAATATGAACTTCTTCTCTTCCCCGTAACCACAATTCAAATTTCCGTTTGTCTCCCTTCACACTTTCTGTTAATCCTATATGAGACAACTGAAAAGAAAAAAAAAGAAAAAAAGAATTATTATTTAAGTAAAGAAACACTCTAAACACAATGTTTTTATAATCTTTTTTGCTAACAGTAATCTTTTTGGATGATGTACTTCAACTAGTGAAATAATCTTCGATTCATCAATGACTATATATTGAAGGAATCATTATCAATTATAAAGGAAATTAATTCTTCTATGAATTCACGGATGAGGGAATGTTGAAGAGTTCTTGGCCTGGTCCACTTCCTAAAATCTGATCAAACATCAGACTTGTTTTTTGAATTTCTTCATGGTCAGAAGAACTTTTCAGCATCCTGTCATAATGCAATACAAAGTTGTTTTTTGTTTTTGTTTCTTTTGTTTGTTGTGCTTTTGTGTTTTTGTTTTGTAAAAAAAAAAAATCCATTTTCATATTAATGTATTATATCTTATCAAAGTATATAACTAAAATAAATTGCTTTAAATCTAACTAATTAGAATAAATATGATGGAGGAAACTGAACAAAATTTTGAATCTGACTTGGAGAGAAACAAATTCAAATAAGTTTGAAATATTAATCTATTGTACCTGACAAGCTTTTGAATTATTACGTCTATAATTCTGTTAGAATGTGTGAAGTACATTTGCTTCTGCCTCTAGAAAAAAAATTCTTTTAATCATGTTTTTTTTTCTAGATTTGAATTACATTAAGTTATATAATAGTAACCACTTGTAAGATTTTATAAAACGATTATTAAATTTAGAGATATAATCAATAAAAATAACTTCTATTTTTCAATGCATTTCATATTTAATACATTAATTTTTATAAAATACATCACTTTCTAGGAAAATTTACCTTGAGTAGAGAAAGATTGCAAATAGATTTGTTAATCATTTCATTTGAATCCATTTACTATAAATAACTGTATAAAATGATAAAATTCTCATCAAGATATATAAATAAGGTACTAGCAGACTTAGACGTATACTAATTTACTATAAATGCCTGAGTCATAATAAAACAATGGATGATTGTCTTTCCAGCTACTTAGTTATAAAAATTTCAAATTTAAATGGGATTTTGATATAACATGCAATAAAAGATCTTGAAATAAAAACAATTATTTTATCTTTTGGAATTGTCAGAGAATAAGCAGATGCATTTTTAAGACTTGAATCAGATTTTCAATCAAATTAAAATAATTTGACATTTAAGGTTTTTTACCAAAACCCTAAGAATTCTGCTAACATTAGAAGATTGTTTAGAATGTTCCCTTTCGGGTGCATATTGGTACAATGGGTTGAAGTTGTTATTGTGAACTGAAACTCATATGATCTAATAAAATATAGATATCCTTATCCTAAAGTTGAATGTTTACTAAATAATAAATAAATCTTAGTAGCAGTTGGCATTTAAAGACAGTATTAAATTTTGTCTGATGAACATAGATTTTATAGTCAGATTCAGGATGAATAAGAATTAACACTGGTAAACATTTGTAATAATTAACATATATATATAGCAAAAAATGTCATGAGTAAAATACCTTGAGCATATGCTTGAAAATATATACAGCGTTTGCTGACGTTTGATTGTCATCCTTCCTCTTGCACATCAGAATGGCCTTCTCATAGAGGAATATATGTCTTGCCATAGGTTTAAAACGAAAATCTCGCATTTTGTTTTTATATTCTGTCCAGACTTGGAAACTCCCCTGCATTAGTAGCTTTCCCAGATCCGCAATATTGCCCTGGATTTCAAAAGGATATTTAAATAATAAAATGTTTGGCCTACAAACGCAACTAATTATAATGAAAAAGATAATAAAATTGATCAGAATTCATTAATGCATGGAGAATAAAAAGAAAAATACTTTGTATTATGTTCTCTTAAATTTATTTATAACTTTTTTTAATAAAATGGGAGTTGAGGTGAACTCAATCAAAAATTAAATGCAATTTAATTTTTCACATTTTGTTTTCATGACATTTTTTGTGCAGACTTTTTTATCTTTTACATTCCCTTTAGCAAAATATTTTTTGGTAAGAAATGTTAATAAATATTAATTCACACAAAAATTAATGATGAAGCAATTACATTTTCTTTTTCTTTTTTCTTTTGCAACTGATATTTTTCTGAATTTATGTAACCAAACTTATGCATCTTTTATAAACATGTAAGCAATTTTTATAGATTATCTTTTTCCAAATAATTTGATTTATTAATCAAGCCATAAAAAAGAAATTAAAAAAGTGATTGTAAATTAAACATCCATCTTTGCATACAAATTTTTTTTGTTGATGAAGAGAAAAACTCAACATTTTCCTAACAGTATCTTGTTGATATCAGAAAAAGGAAAGGAAACATTTGATGTTTACTTACGTCATAATTCACAATGGAAACCTGATGCATAATATCATTCACATATTTAAGAACTCCTAATATTGTCTTTAAAGCATCTTGTAATAATGCATGACAGGCAGCGTCATTTTCAACATATTTCAGCATTTCCTGAAATAATCATGAAAGATTAACATTGTATAAAAATTACTAAATTTAGGAAGTGTTTAGTTTTTATAGTTTTTAATGATTTTCTTTCAAAATAATATTCATGATTTTTTTTTTTTTTTTAAACAAATAATAATTTAACACCACACTAACCTTCAGTAAGAGATGATATTTGGTAATGCGCTGGACTGGCTTTAACAGATAGGCACCCAGTGGTAATTTATGTCCAAGTCGTCGTTGACATTCCTAAAAGATTTTTGTAAAAATTCAATTCAATATAAAATATCTGTTATTAAACATTTTATTTATTAAATTTTAACTTAAAAATTTAAATTTCAAAGGTATCTGAGAGGGTTTGGCATGCTAATCTTATTTACAAGTTTAAAATGGTATTACTGGATGAATTTTTGATCTGGTTCAAGCTTTCTTATCAAATCACAAAATGAAAGTTGTCTTGAATGATTTCTCTTCCAGGTCATTTTGAATTAATACAGGTGTCCCCCAGGGCTCTATTCCTGGATATTTGTTGTTCATAATCTTCATTAACAACCTTCCTGATGTCATCAGCTCTCAACTTGGTATCTATGCAAATGACACAACTATTTACTCTTGTATTAATGATAAGTTTGATCAGTTCAGATTGGTAGCTGATCTCAATCTGTTGTTAACTGAGGCAAGAAATGGCCTGTTAATTTTAATGCTTCCAAAACAAAACTGTTCTCTTTTAACTGTCTAAGAGAACTTTTTTTTGCCTTCAATCAGCATCGCTGATGCTAATCTCCAGGAGTCTCTCCCCTGGTGCCTTCTTGGGCTAACCTTTTTCACTGATATGAAGTGGAAAGATTATACTGAAGCAATTGCTAGGTCTGCTGCTGGGAAAGTTGGTTCATTGTATTGTGCTAGACAATTTTTCTTACCAGAATATATCTTTCAGATTTATAAGTCTACCATTCATTCATACATTGAATATTGTTCTCACATCTTCTGTGCTTCTGTTAGGTATTAAGAGATTCTTGAGAAAATACAAAGAATCAGCAGTATTATTGGCCCTGATCTGGCATCTCAACTTTACCATAACATAGCTTCCCTGCACCTTTTCTATAAATATTTTCATGGCAATTGTTCTGATGAGCTTTCTTCTATGGTGCATAAACTTTATGAATTTAAATATAGTACTAAATTTGTGGCAAAATTTGATCATTTAACAGTTGACCTGTAAGTTCTATGCTAACAGTTTCTTCTCTTGCACTTCTCGCTTATGGAATCCTTTCAGCTTCTAACTTTCCAGTCAACTTTGCATTTAAATGTTTGTATATCAATGTCAAACATTATCTTCTGTCTTATTAATTCCTGTTTTTATTGTTCTCTATCCTTAATAATGTTTTCTTTTTCTTATATTCTCTCACACTCAGTAACCCCTTGTGTCTTAGTGGCTTTATTGCCTGACTTGCAGTGAAATGATTAAAAAATACTGAGACATAGCACTAACTGAAATAGTTTATATCCAATCCAACATAGTTTCAAATTCTTCATGTAAACTAAACCTTTCTAGATGTTAACTGAAATAATAAGCAAATAACTTATTTTCACTAAAATTAAAAAAACATTTTCTTTGGATAACATTAAATTTTCAAAAGATTTTGTTAAGTAGTAGCTATTTCACTTGTTATATTATTTTTTTTATTTTTTTTTTTATTTTAATAAGTCATGTTTGACATAAGGTCACAAGTATGGGAAACCCAATGAAGATCAAACTCACTACTCAGTAGTAAATGTGTATGAAATTCTTGCAAACTATTGCTCCATGGTGAGGTACCCTCAGAATTAATAAATTTACCTTAATTTGTCTGTGCGGATAAAATAGCATTTGATTTTTTTTCCACTGTTAATAAAAATGCTTTTCAACATAATATAAAAAGTTTGAATAAAAAGAAGCAATCCACTTTCTTTCCAAAGTATAGTTACAACTGTTGAAAGTACAGAAATCCTGAAACATCTTGAGAAAGATTATGAGCTTTAAATCTTGTTACTTTTTAATTTTTAACATGCAATTTAATGAAATGACATTAAATTTAACCTTTACCTTGAAAAATGGATGGTGATCTCCAATTTCATCAATTAGATTCTCAGAGTTTGGTTTGTTTTGGCAGTAGATGCTGTACATTTGAAATTCTGCACTCTGAAATAAAATTCAATTTTTAAGATAATCATTGAAATATAAATAAAAAAAAAAAACTCTTGTCATGAGAATAAATTTAAGGTAAGGAATATCAAAGTTTGTGAAAAGATGCAGAATAATCTTTGAACTGTTATTGTGAATTCAACTCTAAATCTGAAGGGTGATGATGCTGCGAGAAAGATTTTGATGTCGAATAGAAATTTAGCCAATGCAAAAATCATCTTTGGTCTTTCAAACTTTTAATGAAATATTTTACTTTGAAAAGTGAACTAAAAAGTAGTTCCCTACTTTTAAATATTGTAGTTTAAAAACATTAATAAGTAGAATTCCAAGATCCTACAGCTTGACTCTGAACGTCTAAAATATATCAGAACACTTGCGAAAAAGCTTTTAAGTTAGAAAAACCAAAATAAACTTCTTTTGTAGCTCTATAAAAATCATTTCTTGCATTTTTTGTTTGTTGATTTTATAAAATTAAAATTTGTGCCTTTTACTTTCATTAGAGACTATCTGAAATTGAAAACACATTAAAATATTCCACAAAAATTATCTATAAAATCTCTCTCATACTGTTATAATGTGCTTCGTAACACTTATAAGTAATGCTTTAGTTACTGGCTGTGATGGTTGTATTAGTTTAAAGACTGTTCAAATGGCTTTTTTTTCTTTTTAGTTATGGACTAGTTCATATAGTCACCGGAGGTGTACTATTTACTCCACAACATCCCCCACCATTTTGATATTAATACTTTTTATAAATATTTTATTTTTTATTTGTATTAGTATCTCCCCCTTCTCTTTCTGGAGAGTTTACCAATATACTTGGCTTTGTAGCATTTCTTTCTCAGGTCCACTTCCAGTTCTTTCATTTTCTTTTTCTGGAACTTGTCCTTGTAGGTTCCATGATTTGTTGTGGTGTTGGCACATTGAAAACATCATATAGCATTTTTTATTTCTTCCAATGTTTCAGGTCTTTTATTGATGAACCTTTTTTTATCAGCTGATTATGGTGCCCTTTATGTTCAAATCTTTTCCCTTTTACCGTGTAAATCAACTTCCCGATTCTTGCTGCTATTATGTCATCTTCCCACATTTTTTTGTCACCCTTATATGTACTAAAGAACACTTTATTCCCAACCTTGAAACTTTTGATGTCGTTTTTGTTACCTGTTCCTTGTTTTTCAACTTTTGACACCAATTTTACTTTTCTAGCAAACATTACTTCCAGCAGCGATATGCCTGATGGTGTATTGGCGTTAGATGTTACACAGTAAACTCTCAGAAAATTTTGAAATGCTTCCTCATTTACTTTTTAAGACTTGCTTTCTTCAACACTCTTTTGAATGTTCCCACAAAGCATTTGGCTTGTCTGTTCGACCTTGGTTGATACGGTGGGGTTGTAATATGGTCAATGGAGAACATCTTACAAAAGTTTTTTGTATTCTTTATCTGTGAATTGTGTTCCGTTATTAGAGACTATATACCATATCTCACAAAATTTACATGCAAGAAATTCACTATTACTGAAGATGTTGGATTTTTGCACTTATAAATTTCTGGCCATTTAGTGAAACTATCAACTACCACAAGATAATGTGATTCATTCATAGGACCTGCAAAATCTATATGCAACCTTGACCCCAGTGTGTCTGTCTTTGGCCAAGGTTCTATTTTTGTGATAGGCAGTTTTGCTGCTATAGCACAACATCAATAAGCTTGTCTATATTTCTGAGATGAGGTATTATGTAGAGTATTTACATTAGTCGGACTATTGTCCTCATCTTTTATCGCCATATTTTATTCACAACGTTTTAAGACGGATCTTGTACGCCCGGCCTTCATCAGGTGGTTGGAATTTCGAACTGAACCCTTTATTTCGATCGCTGGGGTAGACTGTTCTAATTCCACGTGCCATGTTTGATGGATGTCAGTTATCAGTTATCAATACAATATGGGAACCAGTAATAAGGAGTGCCAGAGAAAAAGCAATGATAACAAAGTTGCAATATGAACTCTGGTAAAGACATGCAATGATAACAGCAAAAATTGCAATATGAGCACTGGTAAAAATGATGCTGAAAACATTAGGTTTATAATACTCAGAAGTTCATACCCAGATGTCCTCAAGGACACATGGCACAGTGGATAAAGGCGTTGGTTAGATCCAGTGACAGACCCAAAAGAAAGTGAGTTCAATTCCTGGCTAAGGCAGTGGAGAACTTTCAGAGGGAAAGTTAGCAGGAGATAACTGATAACTGACATCCATCAAACATGGCATGTGGAATTAGAACAGTCTACCCCAGCGATTGAAATAAAGGGTTCAGTTCGAAATTCCAACCACCTGAAGAAGGCCGGAGCTCGCAAAACGGCCAAATGTTTTCAGAACAAATATGGCGACAAAGATGAGGACAATAGTCCAACTAATGTAAATACTGTATCAATAAGCTTTCACTATTTTTTCAATATCTTGGTCCATTCTGGTCCAATATATGAAACTTCTTATCAGGTATTTCATTCGGATGTCTGTTATAAAAATCTTTCAATATGTGCTTCTGTAACATACTAAGGTATTACAACCCTTTGCCCAAATATTATGACACCATTGCATAGCAAGTAAGTCTGAATTTCATTCTTTGTTACTTTCTTTCAATTTACTTTTTTATTTTTGAAATAAAGATGTTTTTTCTGCTTTTTCTTTTATTTCTTCCAGGGTAACTGATAACTCTCATATTACGTTGCACAAAATTTTTTTTACTTCCATTTTGTTTTTTAGTATTGCAATGACCGTGTCCCCAAAGGTTCAGCCTTTTTAGGTATTAATCTTGATAATCCATCTACATGTCCTAATTTTTTAGATGGTTGGTACTACATCATAAAATCATAGCTTAATAAGATGGTACACCAGCACTGTAGTCTATTAGCTGCATGTGTAGGTATTTCTTTCTTTGAACCATATATTGTTAATAGAGTCTGTAATGTGTTTGCAACTTAAAATTTCTTCCATGAATAAATTTATGAAATTTCTTCACAGCAAATATAATTGCTAGAGCCTCTTTTTCTATCTGACTATAATTTTACTCTGCTGGTAGAAATGTGCATGAAGCATGAACAGAGGCTTTCATTTTGCTACTGTTGTATTTGTGTAAAATCACTGCTCCAATACTATGCTGACTGTGTTCAGAAAATAAAACATCCCTGTTTCATTTTCCGGGGTTCCCTTATAACACTGAGACAAGACTATGAGCGAAGTTGTACATGTGTTTATTCCATGATGGAGAACAGTAGAAAGAGGGTTAGTAACGTTAGTGACTAAGGGAGCTAATTGCTCCTACTTCTGGAGAGTTCTATTAAGGGGATTACTAGGTAGTACAACATCTCCCTTTCTTTATTTAAGATTAGTTGGTTAGTACTACATAGGTAATGTTAATAGTTCTTGGTCCAGCCTGTGTTTCACTGGAATACCTGAAATAAAGACCTTATTTTCCTTGTTTCAGAGGTTTAGTACCTATGGTGGTTTTATTGTTCTGTCTGAACATTGTAGTGTAGTGCTTGACTGATGAGTGTCATGCAGTTTTGTTTGTGGCGACAACTGGGTGTTTTGTGTTGTTTTCACTTTGGTATTTAGTGAGTGTGCTGTACTGTTTGGTATTGTCTGTGAGTGGTTGCCATCAATATTGAGGTCAGATCTAGTCTACTCTCTCCTGGCAGGTCTGAGGAACTGTCAGTTTCTGTGTTGGACATTCCCGTTATGATATTTCACCAGGTATGATCTTGGCTCTTTTGTGGCTTGCACAATGACACCTGGTTCCTATAGTTTTGTATTTTGGTCCTGTGTGTTGACATGTTGACAGCGGTGCATGCTGTCTTTGGTTCAGCTTGTCATGACATGCCTTTATTCAGTCTCTACCTTGACACAAGCAGTCCTGAATCTGTTCATCTCCTGGCTGCTGTTTGGAGACAATGGGTGTTCTCATTGGTCAGCCGTTGAGTAGTTCTGCTGGCGATTTGAGGTGAGCTGAGATAGGTGTTGCTCTATAAGCCATCATCGCCAGGTGACAGTCTGTACTTGATTCTGTGGCTTTTATTAAAAGCTTTTTGCATACTCCCAACATTCTCTCAGCGAATCCATTGGATTGAGGATAGTGGGTCGAGGATGTAATGTTTCTGAAGTTATATCTTTGGAAGAAGTTGGCAAACTCCACACTGGTGTATTGGGGTCAGTTGTCACTGTATACTATCTCTGGTACGCCTCTTTCCTCAAACTGTTGTTTCAGTTTTATTACTGCTGCAGATATGGTGGAATGGAGGTGTCTGACAAATGGACTCTCACTAAACTGATCAGCTGTGAGGAGGTAATGGTTGCCCTCCATAGTAATGAGATCAATACTTATGTATTGCCAGGGGTAGGACGGGGTCTCATGTTGGAGTAGTGCCTCTGTTCGGAGGCTTGGCTGGTGCTTTGATGTCTTAATTGATCCCTATCCAGTATACAGCCATTCTTGCTCTTAATTTTGTTTCTCAATTCCCTGGTGTGAGGCATGTAGTTGCTGTAGTATGTCATGCTGAAGGGACAATGGTATTATAATCTTGTTCCCTTTCAATAGCACACAATCCTGTATTCCAATTTCTTCTCTGAAGTTCCAGTAGGGCAAAAGAATGGGTGGGTAGCTGTTTCTATCTGTTGGCCATTCTGCTGTGATGACCATTATTAACTCATTTAGAGTTGGATCTTTTGTGGTTTCCTCTTTTACAGTCTGTAATCGTGTTGGAGATACATTGAGGTGTTGATTCAGCATATGTATGTTGAGGTCAATACCCTTCACTGGCATTCCAGGTCTGGGGAATACTCTTGATAAGCAATCTGCAATGAGTACTGCTTTGTCTGGGCAATACTTTATCGTAAAGTCATATCCTTCCACTTTTAGTAGCATTCTTGCTAGTCTTGGTGGTGCCTGTGTCAATTTCTTCAATTTTTTACTGGAGTTGTTTGTGGTTGGTGTTCACTGTCACACTAATATATAATGATGGAATCATTCTAATCCAAATATAGCAGCTAACATTCCTCTCTCAATGTTGGAGTATCGGGTTTCTGGTCCTGTTAGTGCTTTGCTGGCAAATGCTACAGGTATTTAGTCCTGTAGCAATGCTGCTCCCAAACCTGCGGTTGAGGCATCAACCTGCGGTGTTATAGGTGTCTTTGGATTGAAGTAGCTTAACACTGTGGTTTCACTAATCTCCTTTTTGATGCTCTTGAAAGCCTCTTCCTGTTGAGGAGTCCAAGTGAACTCAATGTCTTTGTGCATCAAGTCCCATAGTGGCTTAGTGAGTCTCGCTAGGTGTGGGGAAAATTTATTGAGGTAGTTTACTAACCCAAGGAAACTAGCTAGCTGCTTCTTATCTTCCAGAGGTTTCATGTGCGTAATTGCTTTGACTTTCTTTGGATCTGGTTTTATACCATCTTTTGATATTATATGCCCAAAGAAGGGTATTTCAGAAGCCCACACCGTCGGTTTATCAGGGTTGAAATGACAGTTCTTTTCCTTAACTCTTTCAAGAAGTTCCTTAAGTGCAGCGTCATGGTCACTACCATATTCCGCCAACCTATATACAATGGTATCATCCGATATCAATAAACAGTAAAATGTGTAAACTCTGTATTAGGTGTTTTCGGCAAGTTAACATTTAGTTTGACCCTTTAGCTTTCAATATCGATTCCTCACAGTTAACATTTATATATATCAAAATAAAGACAAATGGAAAACTTATCTTGGTCAACACGTTTCGTCCACTGAGAGACTTTATCAGGGAAAATGTAAGGAATTTATTTTGTAACAATATTTATGTACATTAGCAAAAATTTTATTGGTTTTTCAAAATGTTTTGGTATAGGTTTGCTCATGAATATTCATCAGGTTAGCAGAAAAGTTAAGCAAGTTCATGGGCATGAGGTGATACAGTTTAATGTCTAATAAATTAAAGTGAGTAGGAGGTATTCTTTTTATATATATATATATATATATATGTAAATTAGTATTTAAATTATTTTCAATTGTGATTGATTTATGTGTTATATGTTTTGAATAATATGAGGTTATGCATTCAAATGGTTTTTTTTTTAAGGTTTTAGTATTTTTGTGGTCAAGTATCTTGGCTTGTTATAGTAGTAATTCTTTCAGGAAAGGTGATATTGTGAAGAATCCAGGGTGCACATTTGTATTTTGATAAGATTTGATTGTGGCACTTTCGAGAATTTTCCTTCTAAGTAAGTTTCTTTTTTAATAAGTGATATTCCCTAGGTTAAAGTTGTAGTCAAATTTATTTCTGTGTATGACTAATGCATTTGATAAATTTTTGTGTATAAGGTCTCTTTTATGTTCATAGATATGCTTTATTTTAAAAATATCTGCAAGTATACATACATGCATACATACATATATACACATACATACACACATGCACATATATATTTTTATATATATACACGCACACACACACACACACATATATATATATATATGATAAACATAGTCTTAAGGTATGCTATATTTCTGGGTAAAAGTGTTCAATATCTGAGCATATATATAGTGTTAAGAAAATTACCTTAATTACAATTATTTAACTCTTTTTGTTATATTTTTTATTAATTTGTTATTCTTAAAAAGCAACAGATTTTTGTTTTTCAATCTTAATTCAAATCAAAATTATTAAATATATATTATTCCATTTTACAATTACTTACCCACTCTCTATCAGTGACACTATTAATGATTAAAAATGAAAATAATTTTGAACAGGGCCCAATTATTTTTTATCATTTGCTTTTGTTCAACTTGATTTCTATACAAAATGATATTCAGATTCAAAAGTAGTGCAGATATGATTAATTCTTTTGAATTTTCTTGGAAATTCAAAAACAGTTAAATCTAATGTTAATCAAGTTTGCTCATTTTCTTAAAGGTATTGAAAGAACAAAACTAAATAATTTTGATATTTTGGTGAAATTGTCACTTACCCTATTTACAAAGCATAAGCCCACTTTGGCCGGTGTATCCCTGCAGCTCTGCAACTCTTGAAGAAATATACTGAAATCAAAAAATTCTTTCATTAATAAAGTTTTCAACTTGGCAAATAAACAATTATTTCATGAATTTTATACAAAGAGCAATATAAAAACTGTGTGCTTGTCTTTTTTGAATTGGGAATTTGCTTTGATGTTACAAAGCTAAATTTACTTGTTAATTCTAAGTTAAAGAAATGGTTTTGTAAATTTCTTGTATTTCTTCAAAAAGCACAAATATAGAAAAAATTACAAATTTTATTCTGTTTATTGTGTAGTGATTATATATTGCCATGATTTTATTAAATCATAAAAAAGATTTTTCTTTTTTATATTTGAATAATGAAACAATAAGAAATTCAAAATGTATGTTAAACATATCTTGATAATTTTTTTGTGTAATTTAAATTTTTTGCTGTTGTTTCTAACAAACTTCATTGCATAATCGAAAAAGAAAGCTTTTTAATCTCCCCAAATTTGCATAATAAAATTCATTCTGATTAGTATACTTAACAAAAAAACTCACTTATAACAAATTTTTAATAAGCAAATGTCTATAGGAGCTTTTGTGCTTTTTAAAAAAATGTTTTATGCTTATTGTTTACTTACTCATGATGAAAGGCATATATTTCTCTCAAATTGGCAAACAGAATGTCTCTGTTATTTCTTAATACTGGAGGGATGAGGTGTTGAAGAGATTTATTATCCATCTCATAATAATAACCCTGTTAAAAAAAAAAAATGAAGACTTCATAATCATGGAGGCATTTTATAAAAACATTATTACTTCTCTTATAATTGGTAAATATAATGTCAAGTCTAGACACAAATTTGGATCTAATTTCAGAAGTCTGCATTTATAAGGAATCATAAAGATATTAACAGATCACCCTATTTGTAAAAAACTGAATGAAAGCCTTAAATTGTGTTTTTTTATTATTAACCCTTATCATTCTGTATGTCAGTTAATTTGCTGTACAAAAAGCTTATCCTGCCACTGAAGGTAATTCTGATCCCTGAATAATAGTGAGTTTTAAATTTTCTAGTCTCTGGCTTTTACCTTTAAATGGCCTCAATTTTTCTTGGTATGGATTCAACAATTTTCTGCAAGCCCTGTATTAAAATTTAAGCCCATTATGCTGCTGTTATAGCATCCTGCAATTCTTCTAAATTGATTGTCTACACAACTAGGATTCAGATTTTTTTTTCAGCCACATTCTAAAGGTTCTCTATGAGATTGAGATCAGATGGCTGGAGGCAACTTTACCACAGAAAAGCTATTGCAGTGTTTCATGAACAAATCTGCCACTATTTTTTTTATCTATGATACTGTGCATTGTCCTGCCACCAAAGGAGGAGTGCACTGTACTCATAAATTAAGGCATGTGATCAGCCACAATTTCTTGGTAGGCTGGTGTTTAAACTATCTTTTAGGATCCCAGTTTATGCTAAAATATATTCTACATACCATTTCAACATCATCACCACCACAAGCCTGAAATGTTGATACAAGGAAGGATAGATTTATAAATTCATATGGTTTATACCAAAATATTTTGGCCCTACCATTCAAATGCCACAACAGAAATCTAGACAAATCAGAACAGGCAACATTTTTTCCAATCTTCTATTTATAAAATGGAAAAAAATAGTCAATTTTGCTGACTCAGAAAAAACAAGATTTTTAATGAAAATTTCGGACATGCTAGGAACGATTAAAAAATATAAAAAAAAATACCCCCAAAATACTTTGATCTTTCCTCTTAATAATAACAGACATTTAGACAATAAAATTTTGTTTTCGTCAAGTTTGGCATCTTTTTCATCATGCTATGCTCTTTTTTTAGCGATCTCGTGGAGGTACCTTTGTTGTAAAGAGTTTTTATTGAGCTACTGTTAATTTTTTTTTTCTTTTACCAGCTTGAACCAGCCTGTCCATTCTTGTCCAACCTCTTTTATGAACAAATGTTTTCCACCCATAGAATTACCACTCACTGGAATTTTTCTTTGTTTGACCATATCTGTAAACCTTAGAGATTATTGCATGAAAAAAAAATCCTAATAAATCAACAGTTTTTGAAATACTCAGACCCACCCATTTGGCACCAATAACAGTGCTGCATTCAAATCACTTAAATTACCTTTTCTTCTGATACTAATGAATGAAATGAAATTTAGCCAGTTGCCATAACCATGTTTAAGTGCCTATATTCACTACATTTCAGCCACATCATTGGCTGATTAGAAATTTGCATGAAAGAACATTATTTAAGTATACTTAAGTGTTCAGTGAGTTTATAATGACTTGTTATACCATATATATGGATGATAATGGGTATGTCCCAATTCCTATAAATACAGTGGTATATACTGTATGTTGTCTTCCACTTCGGATTCACTTCGGATTCACTTCTAGCCCACCACTAGCGGTTGATTACTTACTACACACCACTGGCGAATCTTGTATGTTGTTCCTGTTATAAATATTATCATTCATTTCCAACCTTCATTTTGGTTATTCTTATTCAGTAACCTTTTCCTACATTACAGCATGACTACATTTTATTCAAATTAGCTTTTCAATTGTAATACTTTTAAAATTTTAATAGTTAATATAGTAATTAATATCTAAACTAATTAAAGCATTATGCAAGTTAAATTAGTATATTTTTATTTGTTTTAAGTAATCATAATAATTATATCTACATATGAATGTGTCTTTTGATTTTGGGGAAATAATTGTAAAAATAATAATACCTCTGCCCCATGATAGTTTTTACATTTAGTGTATGAAATATGTATGCAAATATAACAAATATTATGGGACTGAGGTAGTAAGTCTTAATAAAAATTCCTATTTCATAATTATATATACGAATACACACACATATGCAGGAAATTTTTATTTTGCTTTTACCAGAATCATCTCTACTCATTTTTGTTGATAAGTCTGATGCATAAACAGTATTTGAAAAAAAAAATTGATTTTTGTCTGAGTAACCCTAACCCTAAGCCATAGGGAGAGGTAAGACAATGAAATTGGGCATAACTGATCATGTATGAAGGAAAAGGGGTAGTCACCAGTCCCTGTGCAATGAAGTGAAAATACTGGACAAGATATGCTTACTAGGCCTAGCATAGAAATAAATAAATTATGGGAGCCACTAATAAAGAAAGGCAAATGACAGGACAACTACTGGAAAATGGCCTAGTGGGTAAAAAGCATTGGTCTGGGAATTTGGTGACATAGTGGTAAATGAGTTCAATCCCTGGTTTGGGCAGTGTGTACTTGCACTCAGTGGAAACAGGCAAGTAATAACTGATTAATATTAAATAAGAACTAGGTGATATCCCTAGACATGAGCAGTGGAATTAAATAAAGGGTTCAGTTTGGAATCCCCTGTAGGTTACATAGATTCATATACACCTGAGGAAGGCCAGATGGCACAACAGCCAAAACATTGGGATAAAAACAGCAAAGATGAGAAACATTGTCTGAATATAAATAGTGTAAATAAAACTTTGTCTATATTTCTGAGATGAGGTATTGCAATTATTTACACTACTTACATTGTTTGGACTGTTGTCCTTATCTTAAAGGGTTCCGTTTTAAATTCCAATCACCTGAAGAAGACCACAGCATACAACAGCCAAAACATCATGGATATGGAAACAAAGATGAGGACAACAGTCCAAACAATATAAATAATGTAAATAAAAACTTTGTTTATTTGTCTGAATTGGCACTAATTATTTATCTCTTCTTACCGTTTTTTTTTCTTTGTTTGTCTTGTCCTTGACCTTATTATTTGGTGGACTAAATTTGCTCCCATATATATATATATATATATATATATATATATATATATATATATATATATATATATATCCATATATCCAGGATGAAAACACAAAGATTAAACTTTAAACTTTTATTTCCTCATATACTTTGCATATTCTAAATTTTGATAACATCTGATGATGGGAAAAAAAGATGACATTGTTTAAACAAAAGGACACTTACCCACAAAATATCATACAACTCTGCCACATAGGTTTTTTCTGTTTCAACCAATTCCCTGTAAACATGCCTGAAAAATACAAGATTGAATAATTTATTCAACATGTTGAATATCAGAGAGGAAAAAACCTACATATATAAAAAGCAATCAGCTTGAATTTTTTCCTATGATTACTAGAATACAAGAAATTATAAAATGTATGCTTCTTGTTAAAAGCAATTGTGATACAAATAGATGAAAATAAAGCTAAATGATAACTAAATCTAAATAAAAGGATGCATTTTAACCTCTGACCTTCTGTTACAAGTTCACAAAAGGCAAGCATGAAAAGATATTGAAAATGCTTCAGAGTGAATTATATTTGCTTTGTAAAATCTCAGTTCACTAAGGAGTCAGATAATTGTGAGCCTATTCCAAAATATTAAAAATAAATGATTCAAAATAGATACATTATAATTATACAATTGAAACAAAATTTCTGTCAGAATAATTCAGCTGATATTTTTATATTTTTTCAAGTAATTGAAAAATTAAATTTAAATCATGGAATACAAACACTGTACAAATTTAGTTCACTTCTCAAGTACCATCCTTGAGAACTGAGCAAAATACAAGTTTTATTTTGAACACAAATTTTAGCCATTGTTTAATCTTTTATTTTACATAAGAGCATTAACTCAATAACTAGATTTCTGCAAAATTATTGACAAGATTAATAAATGAATCTTGCTATAAAACATCCAAGAAATTTAATTTCTAAGAAAGATATTTGATGGGATAAATATTCATTTTTCTAATAAACAAGTCTGTTCTTTCAAACGTTGTTAAGAGATTGTTAAAAACCTGATTTTCTTGAAGATAATTGCAATCATAACAAACTTAAGGAAGTTTCAATTTACAATGCAAATTTCTGATTCTATTTCAATATTGAAATAAAGTCAATAAGTTCTTTTTAAATGGCATAAGGAACATTTAATTTTAGCTGTCATAATTATGCATGTGAAAAGCAATATTTTTTACTAAATTGTTTCATTTTTATAATTCATCTGACACACAAGGGATATCTAAAAATTAAGGTACAAACATTTACTAATTTGACATGTTTATTACTATAGAAATAAGACAGTGTGCATTTGTTATCAGCATTACTATGTTACTTTTCCATGTCATTGTCATCAACATTGATGTAATTATTCCATTGATGCACAAGCACATATGTGCCTTCTTCAAAGAATATTGTGTCAAATGACAAACCACTCTTGCATCTTTGCAAGAACAGCTTCATCTTTGTGGAACTGCTTCCTAAATAAATGTTGTTTGAGGAGCCATGTTTGATTTTATGATTTGGAAACATCCATCATCACTGTTATACTCTGCTGCAGTTAGGTCACCTTATTCACTCTACATGTTGGCCAGATGTGAATGCTAAGAAAGCAAAACACAAAATAAAAAATTGTTTTCCGTGCAGGGGTTCCAAGCATTACATCCAGTCCACAAAACAAATTCCCGCAATAAAATACAATAGCTAATCACGGGTGTTCCCATGGAAAAAACGATGACCCTGGGGACCACCAGATTTGTTAAAAGAAAGCCCCTTGAAAATGACTGGCACAGTAGCAGGCTAAAAGGCCACCTGTCAACTTACAGGCATGCTGTCACCATCAATGTCATGATTGCCTCTTTCATCACCACTATGATCTTGCTGGACTCATTACATGTGGAATGCGGCCGACAGGCAAGATTCAACACCACCACTCTCCCAATACCTATACATGTTCACCATCCAGATAGGCTTCCCTTGTTATCATTACCATGACCCTGTTTAATTGAATCCCATTCAACTAGAATCCAATGGATACATTCTGCTCAATCAAACTTCACAATCCACTACAGACTTTCCATGTCATCACCACCATCTCCCCATTTTGTTGATACCACATTCAACCAAAATCCAATAGACATTCCACTCAATCAATCATCACTATTCACTCCAGGCCTCCCTCATTGTCACTATCATGACCTCATCTCATTGATAACACATTTGACCAGAATCCAACAGACATTCCACTCAACCAATCTTCACTATCCACTTCAAGCCTCCCAAATCATCATTACTGTAACCTCAGCAATTAACCTGCCAACATACCTTACAATGAGGAATCAACCCACCACAGTGACCTCAATTGGTTGACTTGAAACTCTACCTTACCAGGTAGTTCAACTTCAACACCACAGCATCACAACTGCCAACCCATCAAACACCTCAGATGTATTGATTTCAACACTGAAGAAAGGCATACGTCAATCCTCATCAACAACACTACACTTCCACTCCAGACCTATCCTCTGACACCTTTTCGTTTTCCCTTGTTTTATTAACCAACCTATCTATTTTATATATATATATATATATATTCCAAAATTTGACGCATACAAGTCATTATTTTAATCCTTGTTTATTCCATTCCTTTGCAATCACCAACTCTTACTCAAATTCAGTGTTCAGCAATTAGTAAAAAAATTGGTGCCAACTGTATTTTGGGATGTAAAAGTTATGCTATTTTTATACTTTATGCCACATGGTCAAATAGTCACCACAGTCAGATATTAGGAAACATGAGACAGACTGAAGAAAATTGTTGATGTAAAGAAATCTGGACATTTGTCACTTTGCATTTTGCACTGACAAAAGAATGTTTCCACTGATGTGGTTGGGACGATTTTCTACATTTCATTTATAGTCCTGACTTGTTTCTTTCAGATTATCAACTGTTTGGTCCATCAAACCATATTTATCCAGGAAGTAGTTTCAACAAATGATGCTGTTTAGTAGAGGTACAAAAGTGGCTTCAGTTGTTTTTATGTCATGTTCTTTAAGGAGGACATTCATGTGTTCATATAACAATAGGTAAAGTGTAATAATCTCATTGGTGAATACATGAAAACGTAGTATAGTATTATCTGTAACAAATGCACAATATTTGAATAGTAGTAACCATTTTGGATAAGTAAATGTTTGTAACTTACTTTTCAGACATCCCTTGTACATACTTATGGGGTGCACTAGATAATTGAGACAAATTTATAAAGAAAAACAAAATAGTCAATAGAAATTTAAATTTAGAATATTTTTAAAAAAATGTACACATGTTCAATTTAGAAAAACAGAAAAAGTTTATTCAATAAAACCACCCCCAGCCTCAAGAATGTCCTCAACAGGTCTTGGAAGTGACTGCAACATATGGTTCTCATTTCTGTTGGTATTGTAAGGCTTCACCCCAGCCATAATAGTCAATCAAATACAAATCAAGAGGGCTAGGAGGACCTATGGGGTAGGGGGTGACAAATGTTTATGAAAATTCTCAGCAACCATTTGTGGGTCACAAGATCAATATAAGAGAGAGCATATCCACTAGAACATTGATCCTGGGTTTGACTACAGTATTTCAATGTAGGCAGTGGTATTGACCCTGAGGCCCTACAGAAACAAGTGAAGCAGCCTGATTTGGCATTTGTTACCTATGATCTCTAGAACCATCATAGACAATACAAACTTGGTGTACATTATTGTGGATACCTCCATGGTGTTTGCACAGACATCATTTCTCTTGTTCACCTTGCCACTAGTGCTATGAGCATGGTATTAATTATCATTTTCCTGTGTTACATTAGAAGCTGGCATATTTCTTAGTTTATATGAAGAAGAAATGCGAATCTTAAAATTTGGTGCTTGCCATGTAACATCATCTATTTATGACCTGCTAGAGATGTTCTCAAATATCTGGTGCACACTGAAAATTTCATTACTCAAGCAAATAAAAAGACCTCATATTTAGTTTTTTCTTTCTTTTTATTTGTATTTAAGTAATCTATTTATAAGGTAGCTTTACACATTTTTTTGTCAACAACACTTTTCTGTTTCTAAAATTCTTATTTTACTATTCTTGAATAAACAGATAAAAATTGTCTATCAGAAATACTGCAAAATAAATATCTTTTTATTAAGCATATAAAGCAATATTAGCTTCAAGATATATTCATTGCAAAATTGTGCCTTTTCAGCAAAATTTCCATTTTTTTTTTTTTACCAATAATGTACCTACAAACAAGAAAATAGCTAAACTCATTTTTAATATATGAATGCCAGATTCAGTTATTTAATAAATGGTAATGAATTGGTGTTTTGAGCATTAAGGAGCAACCTCTATCATCAAAATTCCATTATTATTCTGAATAATTTTATAGTTCTTCACAGAACTCATGAAAGATCACTTCCACACACACACACACACACACACGTCATGTGAAATATATGGAAGTTTCAGGTAATTGTATAAATATTGCATGAGAAACAAATCTCTTTTTTTTTTAAATAGATCATAGGAAAGAGAGGAAGCTATAATCAATTTTTTGTAGTTTGATATTAAAGAAATTGTTAAAATTTCACTTGTTTTCTAGAGCAAAATCCCATTGAAGCATCACTTCATGGCATCAATTCTTTATGGTTGTTATCAATATTTATATAAATTTCTCAAACAGCATGCAAATATTTTTGTTTTTACACATTGTGTATGGAGATTGAATTAAAAATCATATAAAGGAATAAAGAATAGAAGAAAAAACATTGAAATCTTAAGAAATAAACATGCAATAAGTATAAAATATAATCAATGATGGGGTAGAATTAGTCTTCAAAATAGCATAAAAGTTTATGCAGCTGCATCAATTTTCCCTTGTAAGAATAAAAAAAAGCATGCATTTCAAGAAAGATGTGATGCATTGTAAAACAATGTTCAATGTTTATTTGCTAAAACAATTAAAATAACAAATGCACGGAAGGGAAGCATTAAAAGACACAAATTATATGCAGAGACAAGGATTTAGTTGAAGATAAAATCTCTTTGCAATGTCACAATCAAATTTTGCTTTGAAATTGGTCCTTTTTTTGATACAAAGAGAATCTGAGGGAAAACCACTTCTGATTACTATTTACAGGCTTCCTGGATTTGGTAAGATTTTTTATTGTGAAAAAGATTATTGAATACATTCTTTTTTCATACATACACAAA